AAACGAGAACAAAGAGCTACAAATAGCTATTTCATGAGAAACTCTTCGAAGAGCTGCAATATGTGCAATGCCACTTCAAGCTGGCAAAAGAAGCACTGTCCAGGAGAAAACCTAGAGAAGTACCTCAGAATGGAATGCAGCACTGAGGCTGCAGGACTTTAAGATGGCAAAGGCCATTAGAGATCTGTGTGCCTTTCTACTGCCACCTGGAAACCGCATAACTATTACCAATCAATAGCCAGCTCATTAATTTGCAGTACTTTGAGGGGTACTGATAAGTTTGTTTTCATAAGGCCTTGCAGTTCCATTTTCCACTCAAAACTAAATATGCTAAAGAGCTGAGAAATAGAAAGACACCTTTCTCTATCTTGTTCCTAGAGCTGATAGACAACTCTTTTTCAAAATGTATGCAAGAAGACTGAGATTAGACAGAGGTACTATGGTTTTCAGGAATTTCATTAAAATAGAAGACAAAAAACCCCCACTGAAATCATTCAAAGGTCAATCTCAAAGTTACCAACACGGTTTATATGCCTCAGTGACTGTGGTATGAAGTAGTTTTCCTACTACCCATACAATTTGCTCTGTAGAACCCCTTTACAGGATATTCAGATCAGCAGTAATAATCTCTAGATAGAAGAGGAGTAAATATGTTGTGCACCTGTGTAGGTGGAAGGGACTGAACAAGTATGGGCAAAGCAGGAGAGAGGAAGGAACTTGGCATGTCTCTGCTATGCAAGAGAAAATGCTCATGCAGTGCTTCCCTTTTGTATGACTGTACCCTGATCTGAACAGTAAGCAGAAAATCACGGATCTGAGAGTGTTCCAAGGGGCTCCCTATGAGCAGATGAGGGTTCTCTGGGAGAATGGAGGGGTGTCCCACACACTTTGCTGCGCAACTGCTGGAATAGGAAATGCTAGCAGGGCATGCACAAGGGCCTGTGGAGTGGTGTGCAAGGTTCTGAGTTTTACAGAAATGTCTTTAGAGGATTGGAATAAGTCAGGAAAGCAATCAAACTTAGCATTGTTGGTGTCCCTCCTGGGCCTCGGGTGGGACTATAACAAACATAAGTTTCTGTAAT